TATCGAAAGATGAATGAAGAAAATGTATTTATACACAATGGAGTATCTCTTTCCATAAAGAAGGAAAAATTTGAGTGAATTGTTGGAAAGCTGATGTATCTTGATATCAAGTGAAATAAATAAGCTTAAACAGCAGATGGCTTCTTTTTATGAGAACCCCAGATTATAAATAATTTAAAGAGCAAAACAAAAAATGGATACTAGGAAATAGGGAGATAGGTCTTTTGCATATGGGAATGGAACCAAGTGATAGAAGGAGGGGAAGAAGTAAAGATAATTATTATGTGTTATATACACGTACTAATTCCCCATGGTGAATGTAATTGTTACAAATGGAAACATGTACTATTAAATATTTTAAAACTTAAAAAATTTAAGTGGGCCAGGGCTGTATCTTAGCAGTAGAGTGACCTAGATTCAATCCCTAGTATTTCAAAAAGAAAAGAAAAAGATACAAGAGCTAACACCATTTAAACTACTGACCATTAGAATTAAGAGAAATGAAGTGAAAACACAAGCAATATATCTGATAGAACATATCAAATATATAAATACATCAAGTATATAAATGTAAAGAACTTCTATAACAATCCTAAGAATACTAAAAGTAATAGGCAAAATATTTGAACAAACAATTCAAGAAAAAGATATGAAGGCAAATAAGCACATAAAAGCACTATCCACTAGGGAAAGGCAAATTAACATTGATCCATTTCAAGACTTACAATTAAGACACATTAATTAGCAGGGCTAAAACTTAAAACCTGACAATACCAAGTGTTGACGAGAACACAGGATCCCTGGAATTTTATACATTGTCATTGAGAACACAAATGGACAACCCCTTCATAAAGTAAGTGAGTGGTTTCTCAGAAAGTTAAATGTACAATTACCATACGATCTCAAAAAATTCCACTCCTAGGCATTTACCCAAGACAAAAACTCTGCATAAACTACTACACTTAAGTGTTCATAGCAGTTTTATTTATAGTGGCCGCAAACTGGAAACAACTAAAATTTTCTTCCAACTGGCACAGTAAATGGATGTTATGGAAATTCATACAATGAAATACTCCTCAACAACAACAAAAATAAGACTGACCTGCTGATATATGCAACACTTCAATGACTCTGAAAGGCATTGTTCTAAGTGAAAGATGCCAGAGACCAAAGGTTACATAAGCTAAGGTTCCATTTATATGCTATGCTGGAAAAGGCAAAATACAGAAAGAGAAAGCAGACCAGTGGTTGCCAAGAGCTAAAAGTGGGGACACAGACTGATGCCAAGAGGTGAGAAGGAACTGTTTGCGGTCATAAAGGTTTTCTAGACCTTGACTGCAGTGGCACTGAAAACCAAACGCATGTTAAAACTTAACCAAATTGTGCACTTAAAATTGGTGAATTTTGATCTATGTAAATTACACTTCACTAAAGCTAGCTAATTTTTTAAAAAATAAAAGCCTTTCAGTGGTTCTAATTTCCCTTCAAATGTAAGCCCTCCAGGATTAGACCCATCTCCTCTGTGATCTCGTCCCCTGCCCCTCTCCCTCCTGCTCTCCAGCCTGCAAGAGGTCTCCTGAGGCCAGGCAGGCACATGTCCCTTCTGGGCATTTTACCAAGTTCTTCTGCCTTCATTAGGTCTGTGGATGATTGTCACCACTTCAAAGGGCCTACGCTCTCAGTAACAATTGCTTCCAGGGGCCTCAGTCTCCCTGTCTTTAAATGGTGGAAGGAGAATCGAGGGATCTCTTGGAGAGGTTTCTAGTCTAACGTTCTACGGCTCTGGCATTTGGCTTTTAGAATGTGTTTCTGCCTTAGATAATAAGGGGAGGAGACAGATCTTGCAGGAGACAGCATTTCAGGTGGAGTTGCAGCTGGGTGGGGTAGAGCTCTGCAGTGTTCTTCCAGTCATCTGAGTTGGAAAAGTCTTCATGGTGGAGTTGGCTCTAAAAAGTGGGCAAGATTTCTTCATGGGAAAATGATTACCTGGACAACTGGAATACTGTCCTAGCTTTTTTCCTCAAGTAAGCTTCTGACTTCTTAGTTTGTACAGTTTGAACATTTTCTCCTGTTTGAAAACATCCTAGGAAACCGCCATACCATCAGTGGTCCAGAATTTCTTCTTGATGTATATGGTGCTGTTTTGTTGGGTTTTTTTTCATATTGGTGACTACACTTTGATGAAGTGTAGCTTGTAACTGCTGTGCCAGATATCCGAAAAACTGATGAGGCAGAAAACCCTCTCTTGCTGCACTTGATCTGTTCATACAGCTCTTCAGACTCAATTCTGTCTCCTAGAGGACAGAGTTCATGTCGTCCTCAGCTTTGGATGCACAAGGATGGAATGCAGTAAACCCAAAGAACGAGTGTTCCTGGGGACTTTAAGCATCCTGCTTGTGTTGGTGTGCACACAGAGGAAGAACTATTAGCAAGGTCATTAATCATGACTCTATTTAATTGTAAAAGCTAATTGCCTGTTAAGGTAAGGCAGGCCTTATTTCCTTCATCAGAGGGGTTACAACCTGAACATGTTGGCGAGATCTGAGATGCTGATGTGAAAGGCAACATGGATGAAATTCAGGCACAGAGATGAAATCCCAGACCTCCTCATTTACTCTTGTTCCTTGGTGGTCTTTAATCAAGGTAGAATCTTTACCTAGACAAGCTTTGCACAGGAAATACAGACAGAGTGTTGGGCTGTGATTTGAATCATTGTTTTTAGGACAGATGCTCACTCTCGTTATAGACTGGTGTTTGTGTCCCATCATATGTGGAAGCCCTAATCCACAAGGCAGCTGGATAGGGTGGATTTCATAAGGTTAAATGAGGTCAGAAAGGTGGGCTCTGATCAGGTAGAATTAATGTGCTTACAAGAAGAGACACTTAAAGGGAATAAGGGAAAAGAGAAAAATGTGAGAAAACAAAAAGATGGAAATAAAGTGTTTGTAAATGGGGAGGGGAGGAGGGGGTGAAGGGAAGGCAGGGACAAGGGGAAAAAATGAGAACCAAGACCAGTCATGTAAGGGTACAAGATCCCAATAATGAATGTAACTGTACCATATACCTAAAGTGTACCAATAAACTCAATAAAAAGAAATAAGTTTAAAAAAAAGAGGAAGAGACACTTCCTGGTATGTAGCTCTCAGTGGTAGAGCATGTGCCTAGCATGTGTGAGGTCCTGGGTTTAGTCCCCGGGCCAGAAAAAACAAAAAAGAATAAAAACAGACAGTAAAGAGCTTGCTCATTCTCACTCTGCACACACACACACACACACACACACACACACACACACACACACTCACTCACTAAGAAAAGCTATGTAAGGACACAAAAAGGAGGCGAGAGCCCTCTCTAGAATTAGAATAGGTTGGCACCTTATTCATAGACTGCTGACCTCCAGTAATATAAGTAAATTCTGTTTCTTAATCCACCCTGCCAGTGGTGTTTGGTTAAGACAACTATGGCACACGTAATTACAAAAAGTCCTACTCTTGAATTCTCTATTATATTAATTCAGAACCTCCTCTGTCCCAAGATACAAACTAGTTCAGGGCTTTCTAGAAATCTCTCATTCCCAAACTGACCGGCTCTTTCCTAACATTTTTGCTACATTTCAACTAATACATACAAGTGAAAACTTCTCTGTTTGCGCTCTATTTTTTAGTGTATAGTAACTTTCACTTCCAACATTAATTTAAATTTGAAAATAACATTCTCTAGCAATTTAGGATGGAAAATCTTTGGAATGACACAGTGAAAGGTGTAGATACTACTTTGCATGTGTGAGTCCAAGAAGGAGATCCAGAATCAGCAAAAGGCCTACAAAACATCTCCATTTCAGGCTGGGGAGAGAGCTCCATGGTAGAGCACTTAGCTAGAATGTGTGAGTCCTGGATTCAACTTCCAGTGCTGCAACAATGTCCACACAGCAGGAACAACAGATCTGTATTTCCTAACATAAAACACTGTATTAATTGGGGTAGTCAGGGTTCTCCAAAGAATAGAATCAATAGGAGATTTCTATTTTCATATTTCTCTCTCTCTCTCGCCTTTCTCTCTCTCTCCCTCTCTCCCTCTCTGACTGTGAAGTACCCTGATCTCTCGTATGCTCTTTGCAAACTGGTTGCAAACTAGGATGGTTGGCAGTGCAATTCTGGTTTGATTCTGAAGGCTGGAGAACCAGCAGAGTCAATGGTACAAATCCCTACTTATTAGCGCATAACCACATTTAGACATTTAAACCTGAATTGGTTAATGAATACAATTTATATTTATTTTGTTTCTTTTCCTTAAGATAAAAATGCTCAGTGTAAAATATGCAGTGCATAAGTTAATCCATCATGTGATAATTAGCTACAGAAGACACTGAAAATTAAATAGCCTTATGTATGTGGAGAGATGTATATAGAAACAAACTTATAAAAATGTGTTTATAAATCTACTAGTGTGCAATCGCCAATGACCTGTCAGTATTTCATAATATCACTTTCAAAAAATTTAAACACATTTAAACTTGTTTAATCTTTTGGAGGTTCAATACATTTAAAAATTAAATGAAAAGTATGCAAGTAAAATTTACATGCAATCCCTGTCTGTTCAGATTCTTTTTGCCTTTCTCAAATAGAAAACCATTGTTATAAATTGGATTTTTTTGGTAGCACTAGGGATTAAACCTAGGGCCTTCATACTGAGCTACATATTTAGCCCTTTTAAAATTTTTAATACAGGGTCTAAGTTGCCCAGGCTGGGCTTGAACTGGAGATCCTCCTGCCGCAGCCCCCGAGAGTGCTGGGATTATAGGAATACACCATTACGCCTGGCTGAGTTTCTCGTACATCTTTCCAGACACTCATCCATATACAAGCCAAAATGAACATAACCACCTCATCTCCAACCTTTTTACATAAATTGTATAGAGTTCTTCCTGTGTCAGTACTTAGAGAATTTCCCCATGGCTTCTTTTAACTTTTTTCTAGTAAGTAGTCTGCTGTAAATACATTGTCATTTACTCTTTCAAATTTCATTTCCCAACTTTAACTCTCTAGTACATGATTTTAATCCTCCCTCCATACCTCTGGAAAGAGTGAGTACAGGATCCCTGGTAATTATTTCTCTGCTCAGAGAAGAAATGGCGGTGGCCCTGGATTGGTGATTCCCTCCACTGCATGGGCCAACACACATGCTCAGTGTCCTCTGCAAGCTGCCTTTGGTGCCTTGGGCTAGGCTCTGAGTGACGGAGAACATGACTGCCACTGGGCTCCACTCTTGGTGACACGGTGCCAGCTGCAGGCTGTGGTGCCGGGCCCGCTGCCCATGGAGTCCTGTCTCCTGGAACTCAAGGCTGGGCCCGTTCCTCCTCTGGGGTCATGACATGGTCCTGAATCCACATACTTGGTCTGGTTCCTGATTGCGGGAAAAGACCAAGGAAGAGATGAAAGGGACAGAAGGCACTTGGTATTGACAAACAGGCAGGCCTGAGAGTCCTCTGGGGACAAAGCCTCCCCTCGGGCTGGCGTGCTGGCCCTATGGAACTGACCTGTCCTCACGGGTACACCCAGGCACAGGCCTGCACTTACGCCCTGTGGGACAAGTCATTTCTGAGAAGCCAACTCTTCCCTTTCTGCTATTCAGTAAGGCAGCAAAAGTAGCATGTGTTTGCTTAGCAAGTCCTCTTGGGTCTTTCCTTCACAGGGATGTGTTGGTGTCATTTGGTGTCTAAACTGAAATGAATTGTGTGTGTATGTGTGTGTTCACGTGTCCCTGAAAATATGATAATAACTAACATTCCTACATTCTAACAGCTTTGGAAGCCACTTTTTGATAATTCAACAAGAATATCCTTTTGTTTGGAAGGCCCAGATACACTTGCCTTACCCTAATTATCATAGCTGACGACTATCACTGACGACTTGCTAGATGCCTGCCACTTGGCTAAGTGCTTGACATCTGTTATCATTATCCAAGTCGCACGGAAAGCTGAGAGAATTAGGAATGCTAAGTGACAACCAGTGTCCCACAGCACAGGCCAAAAGGAATTAGGTTGACCGCCTTGAGAGCCACCACTCCCACCATAAAAACCTGCTCTGGAGCTTAGGGTTGGTCACAGGTTGTTGAAGGAGCTGTCAGACTCCCTACATTGGGGTACCGGGGGAGAGAAAAATCTACTGGGTACAGCCACTTAGCAAAATACACAGCTCTCTGCCTTTAAATCACGTCCTATCCAATGTAAATCAGCTCTTCTGCTTTGGACTAAAATGGAAGGCTCTCAGTAGTTAGGAATATGTCTACTTCAAAGATATATTTGTGCCATACTGCTTGTTTGTTTTTAGATTTGGTACTGGGGTTGAACTAGGGCTTTCACACTGTACTGCACCATCAGCCACCCTTCCTTGTTTAAATTTTGAGACAGGGTCTCACTTAATCAACTAAGATACCCAGGCTGAGCTTGAACTTTATGATATTCCTGCCTCAGCATTCCAGAGTGCTGGGATTACAGGCGTGTGCCACTGTGCTGGGCCCTGCTCCGGGATCTTAAGGCTCTCTATGAAGTCCTCTCAGCTTCATGAAGAGTCCTGGTTCCCAGTCTCTAACTGGAAGACACATTCTCAACTATTCCTGGTTTTTGCTGTTTTTTCCCTGCAACTCTCTCTTCGCTGTGAACTACTGGAGAGCAGGACCCATGTGACACCCACCTTTGTGTCACCTGCACCTGGCACATGGCTGTGACTCGGTGAGTAACTGAAAGGTATTGGTCCTTCCAGAGTTGGGGTGGTGAGAGATTAATCGGCTTGCCTCTTCCCCTCACTGCACTGTGCAAATGGAGTTTCTCAGAGGCCTGGGGAAGGCTGCCAACTTCTCCATATCTCTCTTTCTAGGATTGGTTGCTCTGTGGAGGAAAGCAGGATTCTTTTGCCTAGTTTGGAATTACCTCATTCATGTGAAGGCTCTCCGAGTCCTCAGGGTAAGGGACCCAAAGGATTCCATCAGTGGTCCAGAACGGAATCTGAGACCATCCCGATCTTCATTTTTACTATCTTTCTTCTATCATGACTATGAGGGGGAGATCAGGAGAAGGGGGTGCTATTTCTAGATATAATGATATGCAAGTAAAGGCTAGGCTGTGCTGATAAAAATACCCTGTACTCTTTGTCTTCCCCATCAAACTGGAGATTGGTTGTTTTCAGCCGTATCCTACAGGTCAGTTGCTTTTGAGCAACTTCAGGTTAAACGAAGGCTCATTTTTTAGAGACTCCCTGGAGTAACGGTGCAGGTAAAATGTCCAACTGTTTTCCCGAGTGAACAATTTTTCTGAGACTATCTACAATGCATCACTTTTAGTCACCTTGTTACCAGAAATCAAAGTGATTCAAACGCTGTTTCCCCGTGTCATCAGGAAAGCACAGCACGTCTATTAACAGGTTTTCTTAGAGGGGACAGTCGCAGGGTGGGTGGAGCCATCCATTCCTCAATGGGTGGTGCTTAACCTGACTGACTCTCACCTTCACGCTCCAAGACCCAACTCAAACGTCACCTCTTCCGGGGAGTCCTCCCTGACTCCCCAGACATCGCCGGGTCATTCTGCCCGCGTTTGCTGGTTAGTTCCCCACCACAGTACTTGCCACACTACACTGCGATTCGTCTCTCTCTAGCTGTTTTTACTGCTTTAATCTTGTGAATGAAAACCTATCGTGTGCCGTCATAGAAAAAGGAGCAGAGACAGAATGAGAAGGAGGGGTGTACAGTATCGGTACCTTTTTCTCCCAACTCAGGCCTTCAATACCTCCCAGAAGCAAAGAGGTGTTTTGGGGGCAACTTCTCAAATTCATCTACAGATGTACAAACCTATCTATGTTCCTTTTATTAAAAAAAAAAAAAACCAAACAAACACAAAGACAGCAATCTGCGATCACTGTGAATTCTGGCACTAGACACAATGCTGGGAATACAGTAGGTGCTTAGTTAATATTCACTGACCGAGTTAGATCACTGTACTTCCGGGAATCTAGACAGTCCTCTGACTGTTTGATTCTCTCCTCCCCTTTCCTCCTCATCCTCCCCTGCATCATGTCAGGGAGGTAAAACACAAAGTGCTCAACCTTACTATCTACAAGCAAGGGCTCAGTAAAGAAGACAAGACTGATACTCAGCATTAAAATGCTAGTTTCAGGTTTCTCTGCCACTGTATCTTCTAATGGTTCTAGACAAGAGAGGACTAAATGTATCTTTGAAAACTGGACTCACAGTAAGGATTATTCACTGTACATGCAGGAATAGAAGGGTCCCTAAATAAAGGAAGTTCCTTGCTTAGTAGGAGCACTTCTGTGACTTCTGTTCTTTACACTGTGAGATGGCAGGACTCTGCCAGTCAGTACCGTCATTTCAGTTTTGCTTTGTTTTGCCTTTTTTCTCTCCTACGTCAGTATCCCCAGTAGAATCATAACTTTCCACAGAGGCATCTAATTTCTTAACCTCTGAGCAGAAGAGAAACATTTTTCAAATTTTCTTAGGATAGTCAAGGGGAACTGCTGAATACTTAGATGAATTAAATTCAGACCCTCTCTGGTTGGATGTGGTGAGCTGCCCAGACGAAGATGAAGGTTAACATGGTTTAAGGATGAAATATAGACCATCCTGTGCAAAACCACTGTGTTGCAGTTTAATTAAAAGAATTCATTAAAGTGGTGCCCCATCCAGGGTAATTAGTATGTGTAATTTATGCACTGCCTAATACACAAGGGCAGTAGCCTGAATAATAAACTCAAGTTAACCTTAAGTGGAAGAGATTGAATGGTCAGATGTTTATTTAGCTCAGGTTTGCTCGAGAGTTAAGGTTAAAGAGGTGAAATTCAGTTACAGTTAATTAATTAATTTCTCAGGTTTTTCTTCACGGAAATTCTGTGTGCTGAATTGGATAAAAATCCTGTCAAAGGCAGATGGTGCACTTTTTATTCATCAGCTATTTTGTGACACATCCTTTAGCAAGTTGGTCACTATCTGAAAGAACCAATTCAAGGGAACTGCAAAGAGAGAAAATAAGATCAAAATCAAAACACAACCCCAAATATGGGCCAACTTAGAGTCTGTGCCTACAAGAAGAAAAAACACTGCAATAGGTTGAAGGTGAATGTCACTGACATTATCAAAATGTTGTAACAGCATCAAAATGTTTATTCAACAGCGGGCCACATGTTTAGGAATTTGTGCATTTGAGCTACGTGAATTTTTATTGATGCCCAGAGCATGTACATATCACAAACGCGAATGAGTGCTTATGCAGATTCTCTTTATTCCTTTCATTAGAAATATTTCATCATACCCTGATTCTGTGATATAATTTTTGTAGCATTAAACTTGAAGAGTTCAAAATTGTGCAATTAATTGTATTCAGCTTCAATTGTAATGACTTATTAATCAAGTTGTTTGGCAAGGTCCCTGGCACCTCACACAGAGGGTGTAATGGGAAATGCTTAGCTCCAGGGAACTTATGAGTTCCTATGACCAAGGA